CGTTACGTGCGCGCGAACTTGATGTATAATTTGCAAAATTTTGTGTTACTCACTCATTTATTGGAGGGCACTGTATACCCGAATCATAGACTCGGGTCTTGCTATCCCAATAAAGTAATCCCCTGATTTATCCTTTTTATACTAATGCTTAATTTGGAAGACGCTAAACGTGGGGAATTTACCCACATTCTCGTGTAAATTCTACGATATCGTGTAGTGCGAGATTGTGACATGTAAACCTTTCTGCACGCATTTCTGACATTCGGCTGTTTTTGACAAACCATGGCAACTACGAACCAGGAGAAATTTTTTGAATATGTCGAGAAAAATCAGGAACAATATGTTCAACGACTTCGAGAAGCTGTAGCTATACCAAGGTAGATTTTACGGTTACTCTAAATAGGGACAAAATACTCATACCATACCTGTGTTTATGGGCGTGAGAAAATATATACAAGAGTCATAAACCGCGGAGACGGAACCGTCTATCGTTTAAACGGAATGTCGAGAGCTTAGGCTTCTCTGTTGGTTTCCTTCAAAAGTATGAAAGTAGATAGCATTTGACACCATACATGTCAGTCTTAGCAAAAGGGGGTGATTATCAAGAGATAATTCTATTACTCATAAAATGACGACAAAGCATGCTGTCTGTTTATTATTAATAGTGTGAGCTCTGACGCAGCTTATCGCGAGCACGTATTCAAAATGGGAGAATACCTAGGAAAACTATGTGACAGTCTTGGCATTAGGTATGAACTTTACTCATGTCACTTGTTGTGAAAGAGAGAAAAGAAAAGTTGATATGTTTTTACTACTCTGTAAGTTATGAAGCTCGTGACGTTGGAACTCATGAGATGGATGGCAAGACTCTCCAACTGCCGCCTATTATTCTAGGCACATATGGCAATGATCCCAATAAGCCAACTATCCTTGTCTATGGACATTATGACGTTCAGCCTGTGAGTAGTAGGAGATCCGAGAAGCAAACTGCCTATATCTTGTGTCCATTATTAAGAGATTCTTTATTTATTCTACAAGGCCCTGCTTGAAGATGGTTGGTCAAGCGATCCCTGGGTGCTAACCGAAGACAGCAACGGTCGATTGATGGGACGAGGAGCAACTGATGATAAGGGTCCTGTACTTACATGGTTCAACATAATTGAGGCACACCAAAAACTAGGATTAGAGTTACCAGTGAATTTGAAGATGTGTTTTGAAGGTTTGTGCTGTCACCGCTATGTAGCACTTGATTTTGATATCATACGATCATAGTTGTTACAATACTGTTGTCTATTATTTAGGCATGGAGGAGAACGGATCGGAGGGTCTCGACGACTTAATTCAACAGGAGGCTGATAAATACTTTAAAGGAGTTGATGCGGTCTGTATCTCTGACAATTATTGGTTGGGAATATCAAAACCATGTCTGACTTATGGCTTACGAGGTAAACACTTGGAACACGTAATTTGCCCGGTTTTACGACAGCCGCATGATAACAATATACACGTATATCCTTGCAGGCATATCTTACTTCAAGCTGACGGTCTCTGGTCCTGGAAAAGACCTTCACTCTGGTGTATTTGGTGGGACAGTGTACGAACCAATGACTGATTTGATCTATTTGATGGGTAAACTCGTCAAGCCAGATGGCACTATTCTTGTACCCGGGATTTATGATAATGTGGCGGAATTGGCTGGTCGGTATGAGCTTGCTAATGTGTATATATCGCATAGAGATCATCAATTGACGACCCTGTTGGACCTAATACAATGATTCAATAGAGGAAGAAAAGGCTATCTATGGAACCATTGACTTTAAAATGCACGAACTTCACAGTGCAATTGAATCGGATACTTCTATTCATGCAAACGAACCAGACACATTAATGCATCGGTAAGGGCTCGATATTTTTTATGTTGTGTGATCAGATGCATCAAAGGAACGGTTACGTGTGCGAATATTATTGCTTTACATTTTGGAAAATGAACCTTGTGTAATAGTTAACACGTGGGATTTTTATTTTATTCAAACATGATTATGCAACCAGCTGGCGCTATCCATCACTTTCAATCCACGGCATTGAAGGAGCATTTTCAGCTCCGGGCGCAAAAACTGTAATTCCGGCGAAAGTACATGGAAAATTCTCTATCCGATCGGTTCCAAACATGGATCCCGAACGTATCACTGAACTTGTCACCAAGTATCTGAATGATGAATTTGCAAAGTTAGGAACAAAGAACAAGATGACTGTTGAGTGTATTCATGCAGCCAAGTCATGGGTCTCAAGTCCTGATCATTGGAACTATGGTTAGTAATTTCGGATGCATTGTACTTGTAACGGCTCAGTTTCTCTGTTTATGTAAAGTTTACTTGGTAATTTTTTGGTTACGGTTTGTTAATTATACCCAATTTACTTTTGATAGTTGCTGCTGCAAAGGCCACGGAGACTGTATTTAATGTGAAACCTGATCTTACCAGAGAAGGAGGATCTATTCCTGTAACGCTTACTTTCCAGGATGCGTTGAAGACAAACGTCTTATTGCTGCCCGTCGGCCGAGGGGTAAGTAAACATGATTAAATTGAAATGCATAAACGATGTATAATCATATCATACTAATACCTTCATTCTTCTTGTTGCATTGTTTTGAAACAAGGATGACGTAAGTGTAAAACATGATAATGAATTTGAGTTGTATTTACATAAGGGATAACACTAACTGTATGTTATTTATTCAGGGCGCACATTCTATCAATGAAAAGCTCGACAGATCAAACCTTGTCAGCGGAACTAAACTTCTTGGTGCATACTTGTACGAAGTAGCTGCCATTGAGAGAAAATAATGATTCAATTATTTAACAAACTCTAAAACGTGTTGGTGGTTCGATGAGTTTATGAATCCTATAGCTTGAAAAAAAAATCTCGTTTCATTGGGCTTGTGTACGCGCAATTTGGAGAATAAAAAAAAACAACTAATATTGAGTATTCAGTAAAAACTGGTATTTGTCAGCACACATCATGAGTGTATTAAAGGAAGGATTAACACGTGTAGGGTTGAAATCAATACAATCTCAGATATAGAGACTTTTTGGTCTTCTACAGTAATTGAGATGACTACTTGAATTTCATTCATCGTGAGTATCATTAATATGTTATCTTTAGCATACAAGCGAAGTTCTAAAAATACGTCCTTCGCGCTTGTTTTCAGTGCGTAAGGACGCACATTCTTACTTTCAAGAGTTAAAATGATAGGTTGCATAACGTACAAATTTTTGCTGCTTGAACTATAAACGCTCGGAAGAATTGGCAAAAGAACCTCTCTTGCATCAATTCAGTTGTCAAGTGAGACTTTATTGTAAAAGAGCGCGAAAATAACATAGCGGATTAAAAATGGCGTTGGTTACATGTTGTTAGTAGTATAAAAGACAAAGTATCCGTTTCGCTTGAAATTTACAGTTGTATTAAATAAGTGTGCAGTTTACATATGGCACTAAACAGCTTTTATTTAATGTAAAGTCAAACATTAATTCGCACAGTTGGCACATATGGTTGGTGTATGACGAAGCTTATTTGTGTTGGATACGCGTCAAGGCTATGCAGCAATATCATTTATCATGAAAGAGTTGTGATAGATTTTCGAGGGATATGATAGTTCATAGTCCTCGTAACATGAACCAAGATCAATCGGAAGATCGAGCAGGTGTAGGCTTGCTTTGTCGCATTCTAGTTAAATACCATTATCCAACGTTCAATCACAGCGAAGAATTGAGCAAAAAACTCTTGCTCATTATTATTAGTCGACTGGCATGAGTCATTTTGGGAAAGAATTAGCACGTACAGAACACAGCTCTAATGTAGTTACAAATTTTATTCACAAACGATTGGCATTAAATTTATTAACATGTTCTTGACTTGATTTAGCCACCCCGTCGAATTGCAAGTTTATTCAAAGCACTAAATAATAAGCAGTGGAAGATATTAATATTGTAAATTGATTTCATTACAACTAAACGTCTTCATACCTGCAGCTCAATCCAAATCATCCAGTAGGTAAGAGCATCTAGGATATTTACTCTCGAGACGTGACATCATATAATAAACAGCATTCCACGTGTTGTCATCCTCGTCCACCTTATTATAAAGCTCGCTAATATCATCCTGTAGTCTCCGTGCATCTGGACGCTTATCAGGATCAGCATCACAACATTGCTCGGCAAGTTTCTTGTATTCCTCTGGTGCAGAATCAGGCATCGTTGGTCGTCGTCCAGCCATAATCTCGCATATTAAACTTGCATCCAACTGCCTATCTCTAAAAGGCTGTTCACCAGTCGCAATCAGATACATAATGATACCAAGAGAGTACACATCTGATTTTTGAGTAAATTGGCGAGTACGGAAGACTTCCGGTGCAATAAAGGGAATGACGCCTCGAATGGTTGAATTTGACTTGCGTGAATTCACTGATCGTGAGAGACCCAAATCGTAAATGACTGGTACTATCAGACGCCTATTGTAGTCGCTAACCATACCAATGCTTCCGCCATGAAGATCACAATGTATTAAACCCGCATCGTGAATATTTTTCAGATAACATGTAATTTTTTTCAAACGCTCTAATTTCATCCTCCACGTCAATTCGTTAATATTTTGATCCAAATATGACAAAAGATTACCCTTGTTAGCATATTGCATAACAATCATGTACTCTTTTGTTATTGGGTTTTGTGTGACTCCATAAATTCGAAAAAAGTCAGGAGCTGAGTACATGCACTTGATGTGATTGCGAAACTATTAAATAGAATACATACAGTCAAATTAAATATCACATAAATTAATATTATCAATTATTTTCTTACCTCAGAAATAAATAATT